TTTCCCGTCAGAGATCCTTGGCAATCACCGGGCGCTGGCGAGTAATCACCGGCTGCGACCCAGCGATTGATGGCCACGGCTGCGAATGGTGCACTTGTCCCCTACCCGGAAATGCGAAATCATGTATATATACGTGATTTTGCGCACCCATGCTGCCCTGTAGCAGTATTTCTGCTATAGTGCCGACAGGAAGCGGTTAACTACATGCACACCTGAGGTCAGCTCTAGTGCACAACGGGAATGCATTCTGTCACTGGGAGTGAGGTGACAGAGGTATGCTGGACTGGTAGACTGGGCACACACTGGGCCTCTTAAATGCAACATTTTACAAGCAAGGTGTGTAGTAGCATGGGACAGCACTTTTTACAGAGGGGCTCTGTGCATTTCACTACTGCACAGGGTGTACCATTCTTATCTAAGCCATAAGGTTGACATGATTGCGGCCCCACCTGGCATTAAACGCGCACACATGAGAAAGGTAATCCCCATGTACAGGGTAAGTAGACTTCGCCCACAAGCACATATGTCAGTCTGTCAATAAAGACCTCTGAGTAGCGCTGTTGTAAATAAATACACTGCTCAAAAAAATTTAAAGGAACACTTTTTAATTAGAGTATAGCATCAAGTCAACTAAACTCCTGGGATATTGATCTGGTCAGTTAAGTAGCTGAGGGGGTTGTTAATCAGTTTCAGCTGCATTGGTGTTAATGAAATTAACAACAGGTGCACTAGATGGGCAACAATGAGATGACCCCCAAAACAAGAATGGTTTTACAGGTGGAGACCACTGACATTTTTTCCCCTACTCATCTTTTCTGACTGTTTTTCACTAGTTTTGCATTTGGTTAGGGTCAGTGTCACTACTGGTAGCATGAGGCAATACCTGGACCCTACAGAGGTTGCACAGGCAGTCCAACCCTCCAGGATGGCATATCAATATGTGCCATTGCCAGAAGGTTTGCTGTGTCTCCCAGCACAAGAGCATGGAGGAGATTTCAGGAGACAGGCAGTTGCTCATACTTACCCATCAGCAGGACTGGTATCTGCTACTTTGGGCACGGAGGAACAGGATGAGCACTGCCAGAACCCTACAAAATGACCTCCAGCAGACCACTGGTGTAAATGTCTCTGACCAAACAATCAGAAACAGACTTCATGAGGGTGGCCTGAGGGGCTGACGTCCTCTAGTGGACCCTGCGTTCACTGCCTGGCACCATAGAGCTCGATTGGCATGTGCCATTGAACACCAGAATTGGCAGGTCCGCCACTGGCTCACCCTGAGCACATGTGACAGACATCAAAGGGTCTGGAAAAGCCGTGGAGAACATTATGCTGCCTGTACATTGTTCAGCATGACCGTTTTGGTGGTGGGTCGGTGATGGTCTGGGTAGGCAAATCAATGAAGGGACAGGCTTAACAATGGCAAAATAGGTATCAGGATGAAATCCTTGGACCCATTGTCAGACCCTACGCTGGTGCAGTGGGTTCTGGGCTCCTCTTGGTGCACAAAAATGCCCAGCGTCATGTGGTGAGAGTATGCAGGCAGTTCCTGGAGGATGAAGGAATTGATACCATTGAATGGCCCCTACACTAGTCTGACCTAAATCCAATAGAACACCTCTAGGATCAGGGGCGGACTGACAACTCATGGGGCCCCCGGGCAATAGGGGATCATGGAGCCCCTGTGTCCTTGCCCACACTCAAAACAGCCTATAAAAAAGGTACCAGGGGCATTTCATGGGGTCCCCTACTGACCCCGGGCCCTCGGGCAGTGCCCAAGTGCTCGAATCGTCAGTCCGCCCCTGTCTAGGATATCATGTTTCGATCCATCTGACGCCACCAGGTTGCACCTCAAACTGTCCAAGAGATCAGTGATGCCCTGGTTCAGATCTGGGAGGAAATACCCCAGGACACCATCCGTCATCTCATTAGGAGCATGCCCTGATGTTGTCAGGCATGCATACAAGCATGTGGGGGGCCATAAAAACTACTGAGTACCATTTTGAGTTGCTGCAATGAAATTTCAGCAAAATGGACTAGCCTGCTGCATCATTTTTTCACTTTGATTTTCGGGGTGTCTTTGAATTCAGCACTCTATAGGTTGATAATTTTCATTTCCATCAAATGATGGGGCATCCTTACATTCCTAACACATTACCCAGTCCATATCAGTATAGATATCCAGCATGATATTTTCCCCATTGAGATCTGATGTGGTTTCAAAGTGTTCCTTTAATTTTTTTGAGCAGTGTATATTACGATGGTGGTAGTGATGGCAGAGGTTCAGTAGAACAGAACAGGTTAACTTATACCAAAATAGTCAAAGTCAAATTGAATTTTCAGTATAAGTGAACTATATTCTAAATGCGTCAGAGTGCAATGAATTCCCCCATTCTCATCGAATGTGTGGATGGAGGAATCAGGTGAGGTTTTTACTTTCAACCTTTTATTCAAACGAAAAACTGACCTATCTATGGTGAGGTTAAGTCAAAACAAAATCGCCAGAGAGCAGGAGGATTAGTAGAGGGCATGTTGTACCTCTGCACCAAAGCCAATGCTTTCCCACATAGAGCAAGAGCAGGGGACAGGCTTTTCTACACAAACTCTGACTGCTTGAGCCCTGGTTCACACTGTGCGGGCTGGTTGCGGGTGCGCGAATCGCATCTGTTCCTGCACCAGCAGCCACCCGCAGTCAAATCGCATTGCTCTTACAAAACTTGTGGGCCTGCCATTCCTAATCTCAGCAAACAGTGCATTTGCGGGTGTGGGAATCACAAAGACCATGCGATTTTCTTGTGCCTGCATTTTTAAAAAGGTGCATGCATCTTTTTTTTCAGAAAACGCAGGCACAGCAGCCCATTCAAATGAATGGGCTGCTGTGCCCGCGCTAACGCAGGCATGCACAAGGGCTCACGATGAAAATGAATTGTAAGATTTTGAACGCCTTTTGTTTTGATGCACCTGGAGTGTATTTAGGTGAATTAAAGTGGAACTAAAATCCCTCTTTCAAAAACTGTGCACAGGCAGGCTCTTTATTGCAGTAGAGACATGCCAGCTCACAGCGTTCTTTAAATGTACACGGAGTTGCACAAGTGCAGCTCACTTTCTGTTCTGGCACAGCTCCTTTGGTGACTGCAATCCTGTGTGTGCAGGAATAAATGTACAAGAAAAAGATCAGACATGACAAAAAGGACATCTAACCTTCCTGATCTCCATGCTTGTTTTGGGTTGGGTGGCCCAGAATGTATAAAATATGTAAATCGTTGGGGGTAGGTTGCCTTGATCATTTTTTTGCAATCAAAGACTAGTTGATATTGATAGAAATCTGCTTTCCATACAATTTGCAATCTGACTGTGCATTCTATACTCAGCCTGGGTTCAAACTGATGCGGTCCGGAATTTGCAGCGTTTTCTGTGTGAATTCTGCACCGCATCAGAATCGCACCCCATTCATGTGAACTACTGCCGGTGTGTATGTTAACAACACCCCAAAATCGGTCCGCAAAATGTGGTGCAATGTGCAGAATTGGATTGCATTGGTGTGAATACCTATGCGATTCAATTCTAGTGCGGACCCAAAAAAAAGGTCCTGCACCTTTTTGATGCGGTGCGATTTCAGCCATACATAATGTACGGCTCAAATTGCACAATTAGCATTCTTGTGCGAATCACATGTAATGCTAGGTATTTGATCACGTGCGTTTTTTTTAATTTTTTTGTGCTATAATTTAAAAAATTACAATTTTGAGAAAAAAACAATATTTTTGACTTTTTGCTATTAAACATGTCCATTAAAAATGTTTTAAAAATCCAATTTTGCCGTAAATTTAGGCCCAATTGTATGTATTTGCTAAAAAAAAACCCCAATAAGTGTAAATTAATTGGTTTATGTGAAAGGTATAGCATTTACAAAAATGGTGGTATATATATTGGAATTTTTTTTTACTAGTAATGGTGGCGATCAGCGACTTTAGCGGGACTGTGGCAGGCATTCTGGCACTGGGGAGAACTGACTTAGTGTCGCTGACATCCCCAGTGACACCCATACAGTGATCAGAGCTAATAAAAAACACTGACACTGTGCTAATGGCACTGGGCATGAAGGGGTTAACATCTGGGGTGATCAAAGGGTCAACTGTGTAATGCGTGATATTTCACTATAGGGACTGTGTGTGTGCTTCACTGTAAGCACACTGCTTTGTATGGCCCTGCTATGCAGAGTCATACAAAGCAGTGTGCAGGAGCTGACAGGGGAGAGATCTGTATTGTTTACATACAGGTCTCTCCCCCCCGTCGGAGATACTTGACGATCACCAGGTGCTGGCGAGTAATCACCGGGCGGGACCTGGTGATTGTCAGCTGAGGCCGCGAATGGCGGTGTGGGTAGGGCACGCGTGCGGCTCACGCACGTCCCCTAGCCGGAGATGAAAAATCATATATATATACGTGATTTTGCACACCCCTGCTGCCCTGTAGCAGTATTTCTGCTATAGAGCAGAGGGGAAGTGGTTAAAGTAGTAAACCGCAGGAAAGAAAAAAAAAAGTCCTCTGCAAGGTAATGTCGTAATGTGTCAGTATGCAGCGCATACAAGCACATTATGTAAAACTTACCTTAAAACGAAGCTCTCCAGGGGTGTCACTGTTGCAGAGGCTTCCAAGAGGCTTGCATTTCTTCACCCGGTCTTCCTTCTGAGTTTGCGAGCTCCGGCCACCTGAAAGGCATGCACGCGGGAGTCCCAGGCCATGGAACACAGCTCTGAACGAATGGCACGGGTATGGCGTTCCTTCAGATCGCATGTGCTGGCTAAAAAAAGAGAGACTATCACCTAAACAGTGCATGTTTAGGAGATATTCGTTTTACCTACAGGTGAACTTTATTATAAGCTTGCCTTTAGGTAAAATGAAACAAAACGAGTTTACTACCACTTTACCACCTTTCGCCCTCCATATAGTACAATGATGGGCGCAAGGTGGTTCTCTCGTTCTGATAGGACGTCATATGACATCCTTCCATGCTCACCACGCATGTGCGGCTCAAGGAGCACGCAGCGCGGCGATCGCCAGTACGCTGTGTCCCTCGGACACAGCGGATCACGGAAAGAGCCGAAGATGTCGGCTCGGTCATGTGATCAGCTGTGTCCAATCACAGCTGATCACATGTAAACACGGAAATGCCGGTTATCAGCATTTCTCTCCTCTCGAGCTATCACGCTGACAGCTTGAGAGGAGAGGAGAGCCGGGAATCGGCTTTTCGCGGAGACACCTGTCAGTGTCCATCAGTGCCAGCAGTCAGTGCCACGTGCCAGTGCCCATCAGTGCCACATCAATGCCACATATCAGTGCATACCAGTGCACATCAATGCCACATATCAGTGCCCATCTGAGCTGCCTTTCAGTGTCACCCAGCTGTGCCAGTCAGTGCCACCTATCAATGCCAATCAGTGCCACCTATCAGTGCTGCCAATCAGTGCCACATATCAGTGCCAGTCAGTGTCGCCTATCAGTGCGCATCCGTTTTTCCTATCAGTGCCAGTCAGTGCCGCCTGTCAGTGCCAATCAGTGTCGCCTAACGGTGCCAGTCAGTGCTGCCTAACAGTGCCAGTCAGTGCCACCTATCAGTGCCAGTCAGTGCCGCCTATCAGTGCCATATATCAGTGTCATGTATCAGTGCTGCCTTTCAGTGCCCATCAGTGATACCTGTCAATGCCCATCAGTGCAACCTACCAGTGCCTCCTCATCAGTGCCCATCAGTGCCACCTATCAATGTCCATCAGTGCAGCCTATCAGTGCCCATCACTGCAGCCTCATTAGCGCACATCAGTGAAGGAGAGAAATCACTTATTTACAAAACTGTATAGCAAAAACTAAGAAAAAACTTTTTTTTTTTTTCAACATTTTCAGTGGTTTTTGGTTTGTTTAAGAAAAAATAAAAATCTCAGAGGTGATTAAATACCACCAAAAGAAAGCTCTATCTGTCTCAAAAAAATGTTAAAAATTTCATATGGGTACAGTGTTGCATGACTACGCAATTGTCATTCAAAGTGTGACAGCGCTGAAAGCTGGAAATTGGCCTGGGCAGGAAGGGGGTATATGGTGCCCTGTAGGCTAGTGGTTAAAGAAGAACTCCAGGCTAAACCTGGCTAGTCATATAAATGTTCCCTGCCTACCTGTGTAGTTGGATATACTTACCAATTTTTAGCCTACTCCAGTGTGATCACATGATCCCCTGAGTCAGCCAACAGTGGCTTCAAGGGAGAGGAGAAAGAACTTGACAATGGCTGTTAGAGCATGTGAGTGGTGGCGCAACCTATAGGGGTCCTATGGCCCATCCATTGTTGGTGCTCCCTCCTCTCCTCATCCACTGATGACTGACACAGGGGAGCTGAATCACGCCTACAAAGGCATGAAAAGTAAGTATTTAAATCTTTCTTATAAAGGTTAGTCAACATAGCTGTTAGGAAGGGGAGGGAGCATTTTTTATGATTAGTTGGGTTTAGCCTGCATGTCTGCTTGAATTTTGAGCAAATCCACTAAAAGTTTTTTTTTAATTTTAGTTCTGCTGTGAGAATTTTTGTTTGCTTCGCTTGACACTTTTCATAATAGAAGTGTTAATATTTTTAATTTTAATTTTTAATTTAAAAGAGAAGGTTTTTTTTTCAAAATCATACTTATCTAGGTGGATGTAGCATCGATCCGATGCTGATTATGTCCTCCGCTGTCTCCAAAGGTGAGAACTGAGAGAGCAGACACCGCTAGTATCGCTCAGTTCTCCCTGCCGTTCTGAGCAGAGAGCTGGGAACTGTCAGTCACCGCTGCCTGCTCTTCCCTGCCCCTCCCTTCAGAGCTCACTGGAGCGATGGGCTGTGGAGGGGGTGGGAACGGCTGGCTTAGGCTCTCAGCGGCTTGCCGAGTGGTGGTCCAGGCTCCTGGGTGGATCCATATGGCCATGATCTTTTCGCAGCCTGGACCGGCTCTGTGAATGTAGCTAAAGCCTACTGTCGGCTGAAAATGGGTCACGGGAGTGCAGAACGAACTGCACTCTTGCGATTCACAGGAAAAGTACAGCCAAATAAGCTTTGGCTGTATTTCTCCTTTAAGTTTCCTTTCTGCAGTTTATATTCTTAAAAATAATTCATGTATTCAGTAATATTTGGTCAGCCTAGTTGGGTTTTTATCCATAAAAAAGTTTTGAACCATGTGAATTTTAGTTTCACTTCTAACTATTGAATAGTTGATGCCTAATTTGAAATGTATGTCAACAGCATTGCTAACTTGGCAAGAATAACTGGAATGGTATGTGTTTCAATCCATGTCAACCTTACAGGCAATGTTTAGTCAGCATTTGTCCTTGTAATCCCAAGTGTTTAACAGCATTTACTAAGATTAATGGTTAATTACAACATAACATACTACAGGAGATCTCATACGTTCTAGCTTTGGGTTTAGGAGCGTGCTTCAAATTTACTAAAAGCAACTATTTTAAAATACAGAAGGGCTTGACTATGACACACAGTCTCAAAATTAGAGATCAACAACAAAAGCCAATAAGGATCAGGCTCCACTCCTCTGCTGAAACTGCATACTGTGCTTCTACTGTACACAATGAGCTTCTCACAGTGTGCAATACAAGCTGCAGAAAATCAAAAAAGCTTTCCTCTTTTCTTGGTTGAACAACATCCAGCATCATCTAGCGCTTTCCTCCCCAAGATGATACTCCCTGGCATGACCCTTTCATTCTTTGGATTTAAAGTGTTACTAAACCTCCAACAGTAAAATCAGCCTATATATGCAGTAAAGCATGCTTGTTATACTCACTGTGGAACCTAAGGGGTTAATAATCTGCATTGTGTAAAAAGGCCGTTTGATTCTGATTGCTCTGTTCCTTCCCTTGTTCAAGCGACCACCTCTTATCTCCTGATAAGACAGACTGAACTGTAGGCATTTTAAATATGCTCAGTTTGGTGTGTACTTCTAGAGAGGTTTTTTTTTTTTCTTGGGAGAGTGCATGTGATCAGCACAGGGCCAATTAGCACTGTCCAGAAAGAGGGTCAGGAGTTCTACATCCTCCTGGAGCAGAAAGAAAACTTTTACTACAAGCTTTAGCTAGTGCTCGGCTGAACACTGATAGAAGTCATAAGACTGCTCTAACTGCTGATGAGAAAAGGTATTTAGCAGTTGTTTATATTTACTAAAATAATTGCACTTCCATGTTGTGTGTACTGTGGGAGACCAGATATAGTGAATGCAGGGTCCTGGGTTTAGTAACACTTTAAGTTCTTTAGGTCTGTGGGCTGAGCATCACATGTGGGTGCTACCTAGTTTTGTCTGCATTGAAATGCTCCCCCCCTCCAAAAGATGCTCACTCCTCTAGACTGACATCAACCTAACAAAGTATTTTTAAATTTGCATATATCCTCCTTAGCCCTCATGCACATGGGACGTTTTGATAACGCTGGTAACATTAGCTGTGTAAAGTCACATTAAAAACATGAGTTTTTCGGGGTTTTTTTTAATGTTTTTGCATTAGCGTTTAGCAGTGTTTTGCCGAGATTAGTGGCGGTTTTCAGCATTAGAGCATTTTTTAACAGCTAAAAAACTCCTCTAGAAATCCACTAGTCCTGGGTTTTTTTCCAGCCAAAAAACATCCCACGATGATTACAGTGTATTTGTGCATGGACACATAGGATAACATGCTGGGGGGGTTACTGGCTGTATAAAAAACATCAAAAGCCAAAAAGCAGCTGTAAAAACATCAAGTGTGCATGAAAGCTAAGAGTTAGGTCACTGCTCTTGATGCCGTGATTTTTTTCAAAAAGCCATGAACAGCACCCTGCTGGCTCCACCTACCAGCCATGATCTGCCTGCACTGCATAGAGAAGATACAGAAACTCGCTGGGTCTTTAATAGGGTTTGTAGTGAAATTAGAAAGGTTTTAGTAAAAAAAAATGTTGATGAGGTGGGGGAGCAGAAACCAGGGAAGACAGGATATAAGCCATTTAAAGATTAATGCCACTTTTGATGAGAAAAAAAAATCCCTTCTGAGTGATCAATGTACATTGTAGGGATTTTAATAAACTTTACTGCAGATTCCTGCCTTTTATTGTTCTGAAGAAATAGCTGTTGTTTTTTTTTTTTTCCATGTCCTCTACAGACCGATTCGGAATGGCGACTGATTCATTACAATCACCTGTGCACTCTCAGTTTTCCGATGAGAAACATTGCAGTGTCAGCATCCCCTAAGATGTATTTAAAGCGGTTGTAAAGGCTGACGGTTTTTTCACCTTCATGCATTCTATGCATGAAGGTAAAAAAACCTTCTCTGTGCAGCATCCCCCCCAGCCCCCCCCCCCCAATACTCACCTAAACTCCCTCTCAATCCAGCAATGTACACAGGAGTCACGGCTATCTCTTCTCACTGGTTGAGACAGAAGCGGGAGCCAGTGGCTCCCACAGCTGTCAATCACAGCCAGTGAGCCATTGAGAAGAGAGAGAGAGCAGGGCCAAGCTGCGGCTCCGTGTGTGAATGGGCACATGGAGCAGCAGGTGCCCCATAGCATGCTGCTTGCTGTGGGGGCACCCGACAGGAGGGAGGGGTCAGGAGAGCTTGCAGGGGACCCAAGAAGAGGAGATTCTGGGCTGCTCTGTGCAAAACTATTGCTTAATAATAACATGTTTGCTATTTTTTGTTAAAAAAAAAAATCTTTAGAATCACTTTAACTCTAGCGGAGTATCTTACCAAAACTGAAATTCCTTTTCTGGGGGATGCTTAATATTTGACTAGAATCTTAGTGCAGTCTTCTGGAAAAATCAGTGAACCATTCATTCAAGCAGGGAATTACATTTCTGTGGTGTTCTGTTCACCAATGGTTGCCATGCCTAGACAAGATGTATGTCTTGCCAGGGGATGAGATCCTGCATCCTCCCCTGGGAATCCCTATGCAAAGCAAGCCCAGCCACCAGCAATAGGCGGCATCTTCAGCAATCAGCTAATACAATAAACAAGAGGATGCTCTTTCCTGAATCGTAAGAAGATACAAAATAATTCAGGCGTGAGACAGTGTCAGGGGCTTTTAATTATTTGTCTGATCATATTTCCTGTAGGACCAAGTTTAGGGAAAGGATTCTTTCAACAAACACGCAAACTGAGAACTTTTACAATGTAAGGCTCCATGCACACCACTGGGGGGGGGGGGGGGGTTTTGATAACGCTGGTAACATTAGCTGTGTAAAGTCACATTAAAAGCGTGAATTTTTCAGCTTTTTTTTTACCGTTTTTGCATTAGCTTTTAGCTGAGTTTTGCCACGATTTGCCGAGATTATCTGCATTTTCCCATGTTTTTCCGTGTTCGTGGTTTTTAGCATTTTTTTAACCCCCCCAAAAATCCAAAAATGCCAGTTTGCTGCGTTTTACCATGTTTTGCTGCGTTTTCAGTGTTAGAGCATTTTTACAGCTAAAAAACTCCTCTAGAAACCCACTAGTACTGGGATTTTTTTTCCAACCAAAAAACGTTGATTACAGTCTATGTGTGCATGGACACATAGGATAACATGCTGGGGGGTTTACTGATTGTAGAA